GTAGCCAACGCAGTATTTTGAGGAACATCTTGGGGCACCAAGTGATGAGCAGTACTGCCGTGGTCTGCAGTCTCTGAAGCTTTTGTAGATGGTTTTGCTAAATGCCACTTCAATAGTCAAACCTTGTTATGTATGCATGGACGACGAATTTGTCCACATATGTATATCATCTGGAACAGCTATGTCGACTTGTGCAGACCAGAGTGTGTGTGAAAATAATGTTTTATCCCTGGCTAAATACTGCTACTGCCTGATCACATAATGCTGCGATTGTGCAACTGATATCTCAAGATTCCTTTAACCCGGGCACTTCGTGTCACCACTGATTGGTAGTATTTTTGTAACACGTACCTGTTTTGTCCTCAAAAGACACTGTATTGTTTTGTCGTGCATATGTTTGTATACCTTTGTGCTTGCCTCACAATGGCTAACAAGTCAGTGTTCATCACCTAAATGTATAGCTCCATGTACCATTAGGGAAGCTTGCAAATAAACGAGTGTGCTTCGCTCTCTCTCTATATATATTTTCTTATATTTCCATTGTTCTTTGTTTCATTGCATGGAACGATCCAGTTATGTAGATCGATGCTCATGCGGTTGATCACTGGATTGACTGACCTAGACTCGATTATCTACCGACCACCGCCATATAACTGGAATATTGCTCAGTGCGGCGTTAAACAACCAACCTATCTACAAATAAAAACCAATGATTCATGGTTACAAATACAGCTGTCGTACGTGCGCGTCTTAGGTTTAGAACTGAAAGACACCAGGGCATCTAGTTCAGTTTATCGTTATGGTAATGCTGTGTGTTGGAAGGGCTCACATGGGCGTATGAATATTTCAATATATGTAATTGACTACTTAAAAATAAGATTTTCAGAACCACTGATGATCGACAGCGTGATTAATAAGCCAAACACGTCTGAGGTTTGGCTGATGCAGCTTAACCTGAGAGAAGCAGTGACCTCGCTGATAGAGCGTCTGGCCTTAACGACCTGTAATTGTGAGGATGCGGCTTCTGTCAGGTCTGAGCACAAACTCGAGAGTTACGTTGTATCGGCCTTCTGGTTACAGTCGAATCTATCATTACAAATACTGGTTAAACACTATCTTTACAAGAGCCTTATTGCAATCTAAAGAAACTCTCGTAAAATATCTTAGGCAAACTATGTTGCCACAAGAATCAATCACACCCTGGTTGTCTTAATGTAACACTTTGATGTTAATGAATAGGAAGGTTGTTCTTCTAACACTTGCATCAACATCTATAGTAAACTGCCGTGTACTGTTTTATAATGGTGATGGTATGAACAATATAACTGTTTGACCCAAACTGCAAAACTCATCCAACCACAGAAGGACATCCTAATATATTTAGATTCCCTGCGTCCGCATGCCTCTTTAAATAGAAGGAAAAAATATAACTGCAGAAAAATCTTAAACATTCTATGAATAGATGCCTTGAGGAGAACACCTGGTATCGTCACAATTTCATAGTGATTCACTAAATACTCTCTCTGTTGTCGTATTCGTACAAGCGACTCTTCCTGTGCAGATATCTGTTGGCGTGGTGAAAGGGGTTTGTCGCATTTATTCTATTATGTTAACTTAGTAATGTCACACTTTGATACAGAATCAATGGTTCTCTGCTGACACAACACCTATATATTGAACAGCCTTGCATTGTTAAATAGAGAGGAGTATGTACAGTGATAATGTAACTGCTCGATCCAAACTGCATGACTAATTGATTATCAGAACGCCTTGTCAATCAGATAAGCTTCCATGAGTCCTTGTGCGATCGATTGAGTAGTGTTACATTAGGAGCCTGGGTTCCGATCCACGAAGCATTCGTAGCGCTACGCCATTCGTAAGCCTACGATAAATTATTGAGTTACGAACGGATCGGGACCTGTTTTCTTCCTGTAAATAAAGCATTGTATGTCTCAGACTGATTGTCACTACCACAATGTCCTACTTGCATGTGAAACTGATGAGCATCCAACAGGCAGAAAGTATTAGGAGTATTGTAAGGACAGTAAGCAAGTAACAATAATGTTTCTTTGTCGTTATGGAATATCAATTCATGTTTGGCCACTGTTACAAAGTCTTATCTGTGTCTTGTTGGTTCACTTGATTCGATTTGTGTTTCTTGTTCGTATTAAAGGATGACTCCATTATGAGAATGGTTGAAAGAACTTGGAAAACAATTCGCAAAATCAGTTTTGAAATATTTATGGGATTGTGTTGTGGAGCGATTCATGAGCTTATTGCAGAACAGCGAATGTAAACAATGCAATGACTAAGCAATTATACTCTCCCGTAAAGCGTTCTTTGTGTTTGCTTAGTTGTAAGAAAGTCAATCAAGCTCACACATCGATATATTGCCAAAACATTGTTACTGAAATTATTCACTATAATAAGGGGCGGTGGGGTAGCCCAGTGGTTAAGGCGTTTGCTCGTCACGCCGAAGACCCGGGTTCGATTCCCTACATGGGCAAAATGTGTGAAGCCCATTTATGGTGTGCTCCGAAGTGATATTGCTGGAATATTGCTAAGAGCGGCGTAAAACTAAACTCACTCACTCACTATCTAAAAAGTAGACATTCTAGTTTTAGTTTATTCGGGAACGAATTTGTATGACAGCATAAGGGATTAGAAAATGGTCATTCCATTCCCAACGCTTTCAATTGTTTGAGCTTTAGCATGGTCGGGGAAGAATTGAAGTAAAACGTGCCAGTGTGTGGCTGTACATATCAGTAATATAGAACTAAACTGTTTTGGGTTTTATTGTTTACTTAATTAAACATAATGGCGAGGAAAACAGACGTCTATCGTCTGTATTATTTAACCGCTGTCAAAGTAGCTCTCAGATTGGAGATGAGCTTCCTAGAAGACCACCGATACCGAACCTCGTCCAAGTGCCTGGTGCAGGTATGTTCCAGCATCAGAGACACTAAAGATACTGTGTACTTGTGTGGGAATTGTGGACAGATATATAGTGATCATTGTGTTGAGGCTGTCGTGCAGTGTGATAACGTACTCTCTATGAGAGATCAGCTGTGGTGTGAACTGATCAACATTGGCCCTGTGGACTTAAGTGTATGTTTCCATAACTTGTCAGACATTGAGATGGTGTTGTATCTTCTCTCATGCAGACCTCATTACAGACTGAAGACGGTAGACTAAATGTGGCTATAAAGTACATTCATCTGATGTACAGAGAAGTCACACAGCACCAAGCAGTGCATCCGGCTTTCTGAGAGGCGTTATGTTACGTAACGATGTGACAGTGGCGTAAATATTATCTCTTTCAATTTGTATTTTACTCTCCCAACTTGGAGGATAAAAAAGAATATATATATATATATATATATATATATATGTGTGTGTATGTATGTATGTATGTATGTATGTATGTATGTGTGTGTGTGTGTGTGTGTGTATATATATATATATATTCGACATCCACATGTTATCTCACGATTGACGGAACGTCACATTACTGCGCGTCAATAGCAACCTATCTCTCAACGAACTAGGCTCTCCCATGATATCTGTGGTGCATTTCCCATTGCATTGTTACATGTTGTTACCTTTAGTAACGCAGGTGCTTTTGGTTTTCACTCTCTGTATTAACGTCAATGAGTACAGTTGCCTAATGGATGTATAGATCAATGGAATATGTTTGGAGCTAATGACAGAAAACTTTGTGTGACTATTAATTTTTCTTGTTAATTACATATTCCAATTAAGAATTCCACCCATTTGTTACGGCATGTGGTTTTTCCATTTGATACATGTTTTTGAGAATTTTTAAGACAGCAATGAATGAGACTTAAAAGACATGCAATGGCAACATGACTTATTAGCTGAATGAAAAGCAAAACGTAATTAAGGCATTAGCAACTTGAATAGTATGTGGACAAATACTGTTTCTGACAGGTTCTAATTATGTTTTAAAGCATGCTTTTTTCAGTAGAAACAACAAAAACATAAAAATGTATTAGCGATTCATTTTCGATTTCACAAAATGATATTTAACTATTGTATTGCCAGTGTATACATATCTGTATATATACCAAAAGGCAAAAGAAACGTCGTAATATTGGAAATGAAATTTAAGTATCAATGCAGTATTTGAACCAATTTATTTTTTTAAATATACACAAGAAGTCAATTCGAGGAAACATGAATCGTGGTCGTATAGCCTGTTGTGCGCCAAAAAGTATTGTTTGAGATTGAGGTTAGAAATGTTTTTGTTTGTGGAAAGGGAACAATTCGTGCAAACACAACATTGGAATCGAGATGCCCATGCAGCATGCATGTACTGAGGCATAATTGTAGCCTTGAATGGCAATCGTTCACTTGATTTCTGAACACAGCAGCAAAGCAAAATGTAAAGTAAGCGAAAAAGCATGCGGCAACGATCACTATAAAAAGGAAAACGTGGGGGGCGCGGTGGGCGATCTGGCTAAGGCGCCAGGTTAGTGATCCAGCGAGCTTGAGGTGTCGGGATCGTGCCCACCTGTGACCGGGTGTAAAAATCCTTGGAGTCAACTTTGTGCGCAGACACTTTCAGTGTTGTCACAACCTCTAGTGTACAGTACACAACCTTGTGCACTTAAAAGAACCCACGAATCCGTTGGTATATGACCAGATGGTGGCCACATGAATACGTGCAAACACCTAGTTGCAGGTACAGCAACGTGCAGTGGACTGGGACACAGTACTGTGACTATGTGTTCCAGTCCACCCAGCTGTGAATGGGTACCTCGTTAGGATGAGAAAGCGACAATAACTCGGTGCGTCTAGTGGCTGCAGGAGTTGTATACCCCCCAAGGAGTTGAGATTGATAATACGATGTGGCGTTGAGATTGACATTCAATGATCGATGGAAAAATACCAGTGCCTTGAGCATGCACTAGTTGCCTTGATATGTGCGCTATATAAATATCCTATCATAAAAAATAAATAAATAGTGTTTAATTTTCTCATTCATCATCATGCCACGACTGAGTGCCGCCAATCGAAACATCTCCATAGGTTGCCTTGAAGCTGAGGGGGTCGAAGTCTGCAGTTGCCCAACATTTCAACGTTCATCAGAGCACCATATCTTGCCTTTGGGATCGTTTCCTGAACACCAGTTCCGCCCAAGGTCGCCCGAGAAGCGGCCGTCCAAGAGTTACCATCCAATCCCGGGACCGCTACATCTGTCATCGCCTTGCCACAGCCATGGAGACTGCACAACGCTTACCTGGTTTGAGAAGAATTTCCGATCAAACTGTCAGGAATCGATTGCATGAAGTGGGGATTCGACCAAGAAGGCAGGTTGTCTCCCCTGGTTTGAGAGATTTCAATCGGCACAATCGCTTGCGGTCGTGTGCTGAACTGGAACCTTAGAAACTGGAAGCGAGTCTGCTTCAGTGAAGAATCACGATTTCTTCTTCACCGGCGAAGTCAGGGGAATTTAGCAGCAAATTGGAACATCAACGAAGTCATTGTACGTCCCATGCTTTCGACTATGGAACGACAGATGGAGTTGTTCCAGCATGACAAGGCTACTTCACATACAGCACGCATCACGGCCCGCTACATTGCCAATTCAAACGTCATGGCCTTGCCATTAGCTTCCCGATCACCAGATCTAAACTCAATAGAATACCTATGGGATGAACTCAATCGACGTGTACGTCAACGTCTAAACACGCATCAGACACTTCCACAACAGACCATCGCATTGCCGGGAGAGTGGGGAAGAATTCCACAAAAGCGACTTCGTCAAAGTATCCAGTCTGTGCCGAGACGGTGCCGGGCAGTAACTGCTCCCAATGGTGGCCATAGAGTACTGACTTTGACGCTATCTTGTGTACTCAAGGAAACCAAAACACAACAATAATGGCTGCTGTTGTGTTGGCGAACTGTGTCTCTATAGACCTGTCAAGTGTCACCTTTATACCTAACCATTGCAATTACATGAAATAATGGCTCTTAAACTAACGCAATAAATCTTCCAATAATGGCTTATGCCTTCCTTTTTTTTGAAGCGTGTATCTCTGTAACCTGTTTTTGAGCCAATCCAGATTGCTTTAGTCCTATCTATATTTATCCTTAACCCTGACATATTGTAAAGGGTATTAATGGTCCCAATAACAGCAGACAGCCTTTCATCTGAGTCATCCAAAAATAAGTCGGTATCATCAGCATATTGTGGGAAATTATATTCTTGATCATCAATTATAATACCCTTTATATCATCATTTTGTCTCCATACATCCAAGGATGTACAGCTACAAACAGAAACAAATATTGCGATATTAGATCGCCATGCATGCATCCCCGCTCATTAGGAATGAGTAAGTGAGCTATGTTCTGAGCCGCCTTTAGCAATCTTCCAGCAATATCACGGCGGGGGACACCAGAAATGGACTTCACACATTGTGTCTATATGGGGAATCGAACCCGGGTACTCGGCGTGACGAGCGAACGCTTTCACCACTAGGCTACCACACCGCCTCCTTTTGGGAAGAAATCAGAGAGATGTCCATTCTGAATACCACATGAAGTTAGCAGATTAATCCAGCGTATAATCTGTAGCCCGTAACCAAATTTTAGTGAGACAAAATTGATAAAATCTTAGGAAACTGCGTCAAAAGCTTTTTCGAAGTCGATTAAAATCTCTTTTCTTAGTTTCAAACATAAGATCATATAATAACCTTGTATTTTTACTGAGTGATCTACCCGGTATAAATCCAGTCTGGATTATGTATCAAAGAATCTAAGGTGATTTTTAACCGGCTGGAGATACATGCACTAATTATTTTTATACAGAGCATTTAGGTAATTGGTCTCTAGTTCTTAATAAGGCCCTATTTTTATTAGCTTTAGGTATGCAAGTGATAACTCCTCAGTTCATGGTAAGAGACATCTTTTTCTTCTAGAACTAAATATCTTTGATAACTATAAAAATCCAAATGTTAAGTTCTTTCCAAAAGTACTTGAAGAAATCTATAGGAAATTCACCAATTCCAGGGCTTTTGTTCTTCTTCATGCTTTTTTACTGCCAATCATATTTCATTCATGTGTATCTCCTTTTCCGGTTTGTCTTTCAATTGGTCACGCAAGATTGGAACTAACACACTTTCTAAGTGATCATCATTTTTATTTTTGTTTATAAAATTCTTTCAGTTCAAAAAGCTTAAGATCGATTTACTGTCAGTAATTCCCTCATTCCTATCCGCACTAATTCTATCTATTGATTTGCTGACATGATTTCTTATCTATTCTTCTTTAATTTGTTTTAAGAATAGATGAAGAAAAGAAAAGATTTTCCTCTGACTTTTGGCAGAAAAGCTTCCAAGGATAAGCTATTATCAATCTTCAGTTTAACATCAGAGTCATCAACATTTTCACCATTAGATTCCGTTTCTAAGTATTCTTCAACTGTATCTCTCAAGATGTTACACTTTCCATTTTGTTCACAAACATGTTTCGTTCACAAAGGTAAAACCCCAGTCATCTTCTGTTATGGGTTGTTATGGCGTTTCCAATCACATTTCCTTACATCGGAAACTCTTGAACCGATAACACCTCGAGCACGTGAGCTTGAGGTCTTTTTGTCTGTAATACCCAAAGGAGCAATATCTGGATTCAGGCATTAGACGTGTTTTTTACGTTGATCAGTCACGTGTTTCACATGCGGGTGTCAGGTGCACCATACTCTCAGCTGTAATCGCACAATGTCGGCCAGTGGTTGAATGTTTGTAACAGTGGCATTCTTCTGCGTATCCACATTAGTGTCATTACGTCAACTAATATCACTTTAAATTGAAACACTGAATTTATAAGCAACTATGCAATATGACAAAAGCATGACGTCTAACAAAGAAAGGACACACGTTCCGGTTTGAACTAGACAAGTGTGTGAGTTAAGATTTATAGTCACATTAGCAATAAGTCAGCCATATCGTGACGAAAACAATTTTAATTTCACCATAAATACATATAAATTATAAAAAACTGTCAACGAAGAATAGTAAAACCAACAAGAATATCACAGATATGAATATAAAACTAGTATGTAAATCTACAAGACGATGCAATATAAAACAAACAGGGCATAGAATGCCAACAGCTGAAGGTAGATCACCATACTAGGGACCATGGGGACTTACAGTACCTTTGTTTCCTGCATGGACCCTAGCTGGAATTACACCACCCTATCAGCTGTTAGAGCCAAGTACTGTAACTGTCAGCTTTATGTAATTTGCTTTCTGTGTCCCTTGGGAATGGGCTCGTGCGCTGTGATCTAGTAAAACTACCAGTGTGAAAGTGAGTGGATAACTTTAATATTCGTGTGCGTGTTGTGCTTGTCTGTGTGGGGATGTATGTATGATGGGATGTGGTACTACTAGTGTTAATACGCAACCGTTGTTTTTCTGGTGGTCCAATGTCATTATCTAAAGTAGTTTCGTGAACGTCTGGCATGAACCATATATTTAACAGCATATTGAAGAATTGATCTTCCACCTTGTCCGTTAAATATTAATGTGCTGCATTCGATTATTTCAATGTGTTGGTCTGAAGCTATTTATTCTGTTGTATCTGTATTAACTTTTAGGTCTGCCTTTCCTATCGATTTCACTGTTCAGCTGAATTACTTGTCGATAATGAATCGTTTTGTTAAGCAGTTGTTGTCTTTCTGAGTTTCAAATAGGGTTCCTACACTTGTTTTCAACAATCCATCAGCAGTGATATATAGCAGTAAAAACAGGCTATAGATCGCCAACAACTAAAGGTAAATCACCATACTATGATGTGAAGAAATGTCATGTGTATTAAAGTGTAAGAAATCATGTGCAGTGCAATGATGCATCAGGTTTCATATGTATTGTAGTGACGTAACAAATACCGGTGGCGTCATCTGTGGTGAAGGCGGGACTGTCAATGTGTCCCGTGTTGTGTTACACACACAGTACTGCACCTGCAATGTATGTATCCTAGTTATTGGGAGCGTGGAGTGCAGATAGATATAGAAGCTAGCATGTTGGTGATGGTGCGAAAACGCACGTTTTGACGTTATTGTCCCATTCTAATCCCCCTGCACACGTCATCTCCACCAGACCAGTGACAGCACAGACAACGTATTTGCTGCAGGTTTCGCAGTGCGGGTGCTTTATGTTTGTCACCTCACCAGTACAATCGTCCAGGCAGCTCTCTGAAACACGGAAAGTTCAAACTGTACTGGACACACACGCTACTATCATAAATGCAGTGTTTTCTAGATAATGCTTACACGTACTTAGATATCTGGAATTAGGGTTCATTAAATGTACTGTACACACACGCATCGGTCTTTTACACACTGGTCACTAAATGTGGGGAAAACACACGCAACTTTTGGGTACACAATGTTATGTAAGCACAGTTTTCTGTTACAAAGTCTGTAAATGAGGTGGACACATGCAACAATCCGTTACATATTTTTTGTACACATACGGGTATGTAATAAAATGTTTTCTATGCAAAGTGTTCACTTCTGGAATTGTAAAGTACATGCACGCAGCTGTGTGTTGCACAGTGTACTTTGAATGTTTTATACACAAACAGCTGGTACACCGTGTTCTCTGGATGTGGTGTTCACATACATGGCTATCTGGTACACTCTGCTATCTGTATGTGGTGTTCACATACGAGGCTATATGTTCCACAGTGTTCCCAGGATGTCTTCACATACATGGCTGTTACACAGTGTTATGTGGATCTGGTGTTTACATACATGGCTATCTGCTACACAGTGTTCTCTGTATGTGGTGTTAACATACATGGCTATCTGTTACAGTGTTCTATGGATGTGGTGTTCACACACATGGCGATCTGTTACAGTGTTCTCTGTATGTGGTGTTCACACACATGGCTACCTGTTACACATTTTTCTCTGATTGCGGTGTTCACACACGTGGCTATCTGTTACACCGTGTTCTCTGGATGTGATTTTTACACACATGGCTATCTGGTGCACAGTGCACTGGAGTGTTTTCTGGATCTGTTACACAATGTTTCTGGATGTGGTGATGCATATGGCTATCTGTTACGCAGTGTTTTCTGGATCTGGTTTTCAGATGCATAGCTATCTGTTACGCAGTATTCTCTGGATGTGGTGCTCACATATATGGCTATCTGTTACACAGTATTCCCTAGATGTGATGTTCACAAAGATGGCTATCTGTTACACAATGTTCTCTGGATGTGGTGTGTACACACATGGCTATCTGGTACACAGTGTTTTCTGGATGTGATATTTACACACATGGCTATCTGTTACAGTGTTCTATGGATGTGGTGTTTACACACATGGCTTTCTGTTACAGTGTTCTATGGATGTGGTGTTCACACACATGGCTATCTGTTACAGTGTTCTCTGGAAGTGGTGTTCACAGATATGGCTACCTGTTACACAGTTTTCTCTGGTTGCGGTGTTCAAACACATGGCTATCCGTTACACCGTGTTCTCTGGATGTGGTATTCACATACATAGCTCTCTATTACACAGTGTTTTTGAGATTTACTGTACCCACACGTAACAACCGGTTCACAGTGGAAGAATACAGTGCAGTAACAAACCTATATCTCTGAGTGTAGTGTACACTAAAATAGAGTGTTCGCACATATCTTTGCAACAACTTCACCAGGTACAACAGAGGGTCTTCGCTTAGTACTATCATCCCTGATTGACTGTGTTCTCATGTTAGTTCAGATTGTACTTTAGTTGGTCACTTTTACAATTGTGAAGGGGAATCAGCATGAATACTGAATTAGCCTATTTTGTAAGTTTTCACCACAAACATAAATAATTAATATGTCACAGAAATTACTAGTCTTCATTAATAATGTAAGCAGTATTTTTTTTTAATTAAATACAAATAGGATAATATATATTATTTACTGTAAAAATGTTGTCATCGATATATAACCAATGCTTTCGAAGAAATACATACTTTTACTGAGAGTAGTGGGTGTCGTTGTGGTCGTTGAAGTAGTCGTCGCAGTAGTCGTTACGGAAGTGGTTGAAGCCGCCGTACTGGTACTAGTAGCTGTAGTAGTAGTAGTAGTAGGTGTAGTTGACGTAGTAGTAGGTGTAGTAGACGTAGTAGTAGTAGTAATAGTAGTACTAGAAGGAGTAGTAGTAGGTGTAGTAGTAGTAGTAATAGTAGTAGTTGCAGTTGTAGTTGTTGCAAGGACTGTAGTTGTAGTAGTTTCTGCAGGTGTTGTCGTTGATGAAGGCACATCTATTGTCGATGTCGTTATCGGGGGTGTTGAAGTTGAGATAGCTGTAGATGTTGCCCTTGTAGTTGGAGATTCAGTCGGAGTTGTTAAAGACGTCGCAGTTGTGGTTGCTGTTGTAGTTGTAGCAACTGTAGTTAGAGGATTTTCAGGTTGCAACGAAGTGGCTGTAGTTGTTGACTGAGATGAGGTTGTGGAAGCTGTAGTCTCTTTAGATGACGTTGTCACAGAAGAAGGGAGGACGAATCCGTTAGTTGTAGGCAACGTTTCTTGCGCAGTAGTTGACGTGATGGTCTGTTGCTCAGATGTGGCATGTGATGCGGCCGAGGATGTTAAACTCAGCTCACGTACCGTACCTAAGATGCAAATATGTAAGAGTCATGTATGGATGATAATATTGATGAAAAAAGAAATCATGGTGAGGACGAGCAAGAACAGGTAGAGGACGAGCAAGGTGTGGGCTGAGGTGAAGCCTATACAATGCGAATCCAACATACCTGACCTTGTCTTTTTTAACAAATCTAATGAAAACACTTTCATGTATCTTTTGACACGAATTTAATTGGCAATACACTGGATATACGTCAAATATGCTGGTTTCGCTTCCAAGTTGTCCGACTCCCCAATATTCCAGCTGACTTCGAACGTCCCAAACTGTCGATGGACATTAGTACACCAGTAGGGTGTGCTGTCACGAACACAGCCCTTCTCACTCTCTGGTAAGGCAGGCGGATGCAGCGTTGAGGAGTCTACGCATTTTCCAGAACGTTCTAAATAGGTTCGTCTGGGCAGCGTATCTTGGAAAGGTCGCTGCCTGGGGTGCGTTTCAAGGGAACAAGGGCCCTGGGCCCCGTTCCACAAACCGATCGTAGTGCTACGACTGTCGTAAGTCTATGTTAAAGTATGGGGTCATCTTACGCTACGATCGCTTTGTGGAACGAGACCCTGATCTGTTGATAAACCAACTTGACTGTGGCAGGATCCAATGAAACCTCCCTGTTACATGTATGGATATATTTCTATCTGAGGAGATATAACAATCAAGAGCGCTGTTTAAATTTTCTACCCCTAAGAAAAAGGAGCTTAGAGAAAGAAGCATTTAACGAATCTATGAGATTCCAGAACTGCCCTAGCCAGTGTCGCGCGGGTAACCCCCCATTACCCCTACATGCCACTACCCCTACAGCTTATAACAACATAGTTTAAGGTCTGTTGCACTGTTAATCCACTGCCTGTTACCTATTCCACACAATGGACTAATCCACTTAAGAGACATAACAACACACAACTAAAAGGTTGAGAGAATGATTTTAATGAAAAGTGATCATCATTTGTCATCATCAAGATTTTAATAAGAATTAACAATAATTCGTCATCATGATTCTTTGATGGACATTAACAATTAATTGTTAACATTCAATGTTAACATAGTCATTTGTGTCAAGTGTTTCAGTCTATGAACATTCAGTGTTTCAATCTATCCCAGCTTAAGCAGATAGCCGACGGCGTCCAAGAACTGAAGAGGTGATTTCTGTCCAAGCCATGTTAGTTTGTTGTCAACAGCTATATACTATACCGAACTATTTCAATTTACTTTCTCGTCTCACCTTCTCATTTCCCTCCACTTCTCAATAATACTGTGTATCTTATATCATGGCACTAAAACAACTTAATTTCAACATTTAACAACCTACACATTATCCAATTTGTAAAATTGTTCTACTCACTAGAGGTTTAACTTTCATCATGAAACTAAAACAACTTTTAGCTAACCCCAAATTTCCTTGACACAAAATACTAAAGAACAGTTTAATCCCTCCTTTGATCTCATCTGTATACTCTATGCACTAATCTCTCTTTGGGTCAGTTCATTATGCCAGACAGGTAAATGCCGTGTGTTGTTTTAACTAATTGTAGGGGTACTGGGCTGTAGGGGTAGTGGCATGTATGGGTTATGGGATACAACCGTCCCGCGTATATCTACCGTTGATTCCACTCAAACCACTTCCAACCATAATTCATTGTCAGCTCCTTCATCTGCATCCTACCTCAAATCCACACCTTTCAGTATGTGTGTAGAACACTGATACACATATATGCATCGCTATTGTTCCTACCTCCTTCCAGACATAGGTGCCCACTGGCTGCAGCTACGGGCACACACACCTCACCTACATAACACGGTCGTCGTGCACAAGGATGGGATTGCTTCTGGAAATAAAGAAACGTTTGTGCTCAGAACAATATACCTTTATAACTATAACACAAGTCAGTACATTGTGGCTAAGGTTTTCGTTACGAAATGACCATAAAGAGCGGAAGATCAAAATGTGCAACAGCAAATTGTTCAAGATTATGGCAAAACAAAAAGATAATATACCTAAAACACTGCCCTTCAGTGAAATAAAACGGAAATCAAGCATGTGCAGAAATGCATGGATAATTTCCTTGCATTAAGTAAAACTCATCTTTGCAATGTTCAGGAGCAGCCGCCATATTAACAGCTCTTAAATACATAAATAAACACCCAAAAAATTAAACTCTATATAATATCTTACGGATTCACTTTCGTGCCTTCAGAACATTAAAATTGTCTTGTAAACATCCACTTTTTACTGAATTATATACTTCTGGAATAAACTAGCTGTGCAGTATTTGATGTTATGCCAATTTTAATGCAAAAAGATAATAAAATGATGTGTTAAGCTGGTGTGTTCCGTAACCACTGTGTAAGTGTTGACAGGATAATATCGAAATCCGTATGATTTAACACTACGCATCGTGACACACCCTTGAACAGGTGTGGTGTCAAAAGTCAGTTCACAAATTTAGTATCGTGTGTGTCCACCATTGGCGTTGATGCAGGCTTGACAACGACGACAGATAGACGACACTAGGCAATAGAAAAAAGCTTAGGAAATGTAACGTCAATGGCGATATGTGAACGGGCATTATCTTGCTGAAGCGTGAAGTTACGTCCCTGCCCTCGAATGAACGGCTACACATGAGCCCCATTAATCTCATCCCTGTATCGCAGACCTTTTAGATTGCCATTGATAATGCACTTAGATGTTCACCTCGTCCGTTTGGACACCTCTTGCCCTGTCATCTGAGCTGTCCAGATGAAATCTCGATTCCTCAGTGAACAAAACGGCATCTTAATCTTATCTCCTCTACCGTAGATGCTGTCTGCACCAGGCAAGACGTGTCTGTGAAATCGGGACGTATTGTAGGCCGTCGAATCCAGATGTTGTGATCCCTCAGTCGGTTCCGTACAGTGCTGACTGGACGTAAGCCAGTAATTGGTCCGAGCAGTCAAACTAGCAGTCTGGAATCGATTCCTTACATGGGACAGCCGATTCTAGTCGACTTACTGACGTGACGTCACGCGTAAACGGCGGTCTGAGGCAAAACTCTCTTGTTCCCATTGTGTCGAAAACATCTCCATCGACATGGACACCGAAATGTCTTCCCACTTCATTTTAAGCCATTCCAGTCCCCAGCATGCCCATGGAACGGAAACTCTGATTTTCTGTAAGAGATGGCATGACGTACGCGCTGCATAGTTAGAAATGAACGTGTTTTCCACAAAATTCAGAAGCTGGAGAATAATCAACGGTTCTTCAATGTTCAATATCAGGTATGTGAACTTCAGGATACGTGACATCAGAGTGCTTCGCTACACGTTTATTTAGGGTTATTTTTATAACCTTTGGATGAAGTTTTATTTTATGCAAAATAATGTTATGAACAGTTACTTTTTTCCGTGAGTATACACGTATAATGATCTTGCTACTGGCCAATCCAGCCATTTTGGAATTTCTGGTAACACTATGGCCAATTCTGCTGCTAAAGCAATATTCAATACATCTGTGACACCACTTCTCATCGCAGTCTCCGAACTGAAAAACCGTATTTAAATCTAACGCAGAAGACGTGGGACGCCCAAGTAGGTACCAATAAATTACATCAAGTAAAGCCAACTGTGGGTTACAGTTATTGGGACTGTCAGTCCAGACTTGATGAGGTCATTATGTGACGATACACTCATGATAATTTATTAGTTGAGTTGAGTTGGGCTTTACGTCACATCGGCATTATTCCAGCCATATAGTGACGAGAACAAGTCTGCATTAATATACATTGTAAGTACAAAGTGGTTTCATTTCAAAGACACACATTCGTTACATTGTCATTTTGGAACAGAATGTCATAGCACTAAATTGAAAAGCAGGTAAATTCGTTAGTGACATTACACAATTACAATTTATGATATAGATCAACTTCCCTCAGGTAGTTCAGTATCAGATGAGCGCTCACGCTGGAGAACAGATCTTTCAGATTGGTTGCGTGATAATGCGAGTCCCTTGCAGATGTAAAGTCCACACAGTCAAGCAGAATATGCTTGACGGTGAAAGCCTCATCGCAGGAGAGACATATGGGGGGGTCCATCCCCATCCGTTTTTTAGCAGATAGTCATGTGTAAATCGACTGTGGCCAATACGACATCGTCGTAAAATTACTTCATCACGTCTTGACTGGCATCCCAAGTAGGTATAACCGATTGTTGGCTTCAATTGGCTTCAATTCGATACATTTTGTATCTCTTAAAATTGTGATGAAAGAATCACAGTCAAGCATGTACTTGTTGACTGTATTGATATTTCTATTATTAGGGATCATGCTTCTGATCATCATATATGAAGGATCTTTTCACTGATATTTATTCTCATATAATTATTTTTGTGTAAAACAAATTTATTTACTGATAAATTTTAATATGCATTGCAATTAGTAAGTGTGTATTTATTTGTAAGAATGAATAAAGAACTTTGACTGACAGTGGCAATACCGTCAAAGAGCATAGTTGCCACCCTTAGAGGGCATGTATGTCCCACTTCATTTTCGTTCTGATTGTAAAACGGTATGTGTTCTTTTGTTGTATAGCTAATTTCCTCAAGATCACAAACACCTGAAGGATGATGTAAATTCAGCAGGAACCATCGGTACCGAAAGTCCCCATGGTCCCTAGTGTGTTGATGTATCTTCAGTTGCTTCTGTAGCCCGTTTTTATATTGTTTTGACCTATATTGTTATATAATGTTTTATGATGGCGGCGCCCATAGGGCGCGGCCATCTTGGATCAATCACTTCCGGTCAGGGGAGATCACTCGGGTTCCGGTTCCGGTGCTTCCGGTTCCGGTGGGTGCGCACGCATCGCGATGACGTCACGTCCGGTTCCGGTGGTTGCGCGCGCATGACGATGACGTCACCTCCGGGCCAAGATGGCGGACGCGTTTCAAGATGGCGTCCCATCCGGTGGGATCGCGTGAGATCTCGCGGGATCTCGTGGAGTCTCGCGGGATCTCGCGAGCGTAGACGCCTTTCAAGATGGCGGAACGGACGAGCGGCGGACGGGACGGGACGGGACGGAGAGGAAGGAAGGGAGGAGAAAGGAGAGGGAAGGAGGGGAGAGGGGTGAGGCGGACACGATGGCGTGGCTAGACAGTGTGTGTGTGTGTGTGTGTGTGTGGTTAAAAAACATTGGATGGAGCATTCTTTCGAGCGAGGTGGGTGGCCCTGAAAAGGGCCGTTGGTATGAGTGGGTGAGAGATCACCGAGACATCTATGGTGGTGATGGTGGTGCACTGGAGGCAGTGCTACTGGAATCGTCCATGGGTTCGACAAACTCCAAGATGCGTTGAAGTAGAGAGTACATGGTGTCTATGCGATCTTGAACGAGGGAGGACCTTGTCATGGAGTAGAGCCAGTAAATGTTGGCTTTCACGTTTACTCACTTTCTTTGGCGGTTCACTTGGCTGGTAGGTGGATGCTGGACGTTTCTGGCCCTTGTTAGAGCAGTTCATACTCTTATGGTCCTCTTGACCACAGTGACGACAGGGATGTGGACAGGCGTAACTGAGATGACCTTCGTTTTTTCCACAGTTGTAGCAGGTGTTGTTATCATGCTTGTTGTTGTCCTTGGTCTTCTTGGGACATACGTAATAGCGATGACCTTGAGCACCACACTCGGTACAAGTCACCTTGGGACAGTGTAGATAACTGTGGTCATCTGTTTCGCACAGGCGGCAACGGAAGGAGGCGGAGGCGGAGGGGAGACGTCTGCATGCTTCCAGTTTCAGTGAGCAACTGATGAGGAGTGCTGGAAAACCTTGAATTTATATAGCTGGGGTTGATGACGTCACTTTGACGCATCTGGTTCGCACCGGTTGCATCCGGTTCGCACCACTCTCCTCCTGACTCAACAGGCTAGTGTGACGTCATGGGGTATGACATCATTCCTATAAATAACACATGAGCTCATGGTGCGCACTGGCACGACCTATTGTGACGTCATAGGGTGACGTGATGTATATAAACCAGGCTCAGCGTGGGTCTTACCAGTTCTCACCATGCCGTCACCACGAATGAACGAAGATGAACTTGAAGAGGAGCCTGTGCCCTACGAGTTGGAGCGGACGACTCAAAAAACAACCAAGAAATTCCGGACTGGTACCCAGCGCTACCACCTGAAGTTCAACCCTGTTTGGCTGCAGCGTCAACAGCCTGAAGACCTTCCCGTCGTTCTCAGAGAACAGTTTGATGCCGTGTTAGCAGATCTGAGAGACGATGTGGGTGGCCAGGATGGTGATCGCGTGGGATTAACCCTGGAACACCCGCCCTGGATACAGACATCCGAATCACGTTTCGGCGGATGGGTGACCTCCAGGGGGAACACATCATGGCCGAAGTGGAAAAAGTACAACAAAGCAACCACGACTTACATATCGATGACACCATGGACATTTTCTTACTGCATGTAGAGGATCCTGATCGTATCGGTGAGGGACACGGCCGGCCAACACACCTCGTTGGCTTAAACGCTTTCCTGGAAAAGAAACAATGCATCGTCCAAATCAAGAATGAGGATCAGCTCTGCTTTGCCCGTGCCCTGGTCGTGGCCAGTCACCACGCACACCAACCCGATCCTGTGACCAAAGAATGGACGAAGGAATGGCGGTACCTGTGTGACCATCGTAGACCAGCGCAGTTGAAGGCTGCCAAGGGCTTATTTCGTCAACTCAAGATCCCGAAGGTCCTTGTACAGGGCGTGCCACGTGGGAGTTGTTCAGTCAACGTTTGGCCTTACTATCAGCTCAAAGTCTACTCCCAAGAGGTGATGAATCGACTCCTGTACAAGAGTGAAGTGG